TGGCCTCGAACTCTCAATGATCCTCATGCCTCAGCCTCCCAAGTGCTGGGATTACAGGCATGCACCACCATGTCAGGCCCTTTGGGAGCTTTTGGTTTGTTTGTTTTTTGTTTTTGAGACAGAGTCTCACTATGTAGTTCAGGCTGGACTTGAGATCACTATGTAGCCCAGGCTAGCTTCTAACTTGAGGTGATCCTTCTAAGACTGGAAATTAGGGCATGGCAAAACTGTCTGCTGAAGTAGGCTTGTGTGACTTGTTAATTACAAGACCCTGGAACATGTGTGTAGAACAATTCCCAAAGCCCTGCAAAACTTCTCAGGAGAATTTGAGCAGGCTTTCAGTAGGGTAGACTAGACCTGACCTCAGCCTGAGGCATGGGACCTCAGCACCAACTCTTAGGACCTGTATGTAGAAGTTACCGGTCAGGGGTATAGCTTGGCAGCGCAAGTGCCTGCCTCACAAGCGGAAGGTCCTGTGTTCGATTGCTAGTAACCCCCACCACCTCAAGAAAAGTTCTCCTGGGCTTCCTCAAGATTTGGACAGTAGAAAAAGACACAGACACCAAGAAGAGCTGGCTATGGTGGCTTTCCCCACTATAGCCTCCCCCACCGTGTACTTCATCTTTCACTCGGCCTACGCTTGTTTGGCAGACCCAGTTTCTCTCTCACTCTTCACTTTTACTTTTTCAAATAAACTTTGTCACTGCTTTTTGGTCATTTCATTCATTTCTTTGTTCAGGATAAGAAGAACCTGAAATCTAACTCCAGAAGGAGAGACAAGCAACCTAGAACCCAGTAAAGTTCATCTGGCTACCGGATAACAGTGTTGTAGACAAAACAACCAAATTAGACTGGCAAGAGAACTTGCCGTGAGAATCTAATGCCATTAGGGTTGATGACTAGTGCTGTGTGTGTGTGTGTGTGTGTGTGTGTGTGTGTGTGTATCAGGCAAAACTTGTGTTATTTAGACCTGTACTTTAGCCACTGCTATACTAGCACTAGTGTCTTCCGTTCCTTTCAAATGTTAAATTTTTATCTCCTTTTCCCTTTCTACCTTAGATTTGGACTATATTAATGAACCAAAATTAACTTGGATCTTGGTGCCATGCCAGGAAATTTCTCAACTAGTTGGCTTAGTTCAGTTTTGAAAATGTTGGCAAGGCACTTAAAATTTGCTAGAAATGTGTAACAGAGTTAACACCTTAAGGCAAAATATACTAAAAAAGTAACTGTTACATGTAATGTAAAAGTAATATAGTACTTCCGAGGAAATGTACTCTTCAGTGCCTAGATAATTTCTCTTCACCGTGAACGCACATTGGAATCGCGGGGGCAGGGTACAGGTAAAAAATTCTGAAATGCAGGAGCTGGGGGTAACTCAATGGTAGAGAACTTGCCTAGTGTGTGCTAGACCCTGAGTTCAATCCCCAACACTGCAAAGAAAAAAAATACATTATATATATTGCCCTAACTACATTCCAGACCAGTTAAATCAAAATCTTTGGGGATGGAACTCAAATATAAAGCACATTTTCAATATTCCCATGTGGTTTCCTGTGCAGTCAAGGTTGAGAACCACTGGTCTACAGGGATGGTATGAATAGGAATATCCAGGCAGACAGGAAATACTGTGGATGACTAGGAAAAGTCAAGATATTACCTGATATTATGTAGGAAGACATGGTGAAATAAAGGGGTAAACTGCAAGTAAAGAGAATCTCAAACAATTTGGAGAGGAGATAACAACAGTTCTAAGGCCAGCTTTTCTACTGGTGTGCCGCAGTCATTCTATTTACTCTCCTGTGGAATTGGAGATGGCTGCATTTTTTTAGCTCTGAAGAATCATTTCTACTGGGGATATAGCTCAGCAGCACAGTGGTTGCCTGGCAAGTGCAAGGTTCTGAGTTCGATTCCAGGTACCCCCCCAAAAAAGTGACAAGCTGTCAAAAGTCAATTCTATTTTTCTTTCTTTGTAAGATCTTTCTATATTATGTTTTGTGTTTTGGTTTAAAAAAAAATGTTGTCTTGATACTGGGCCTTGAACCTAGGATCTCTCACATGCACATGCTCAAGAAGCACTCTATTATTGAGGTAAATCTCCAATCCTTTATAAATTTTTTTTTGTGGGGGGTGGATCTTTTTGAGACAGACTATGCAGTTCAGGCTTCCCTTGAGCTCACTTTGTAGCCCAGTCTGGCCTTGAGCTCACAGTGATCCTCCTGCCTCAGCCTCCCGAGTGCTGGGATTAGAGGCGTGCACCACCATGCATGGCCTTTATAAAGTTTTAATGTTGATAAAATACACATAAAATTCACCATCTTAGCCATTTTTAAGTAACGTGTTATTCAATAGTGTTAAGAACATCCATATTGTTGTGTAAACCAATATCCAGAAGTCAGTTTTTTTTCTTTCTGTGATAGGGTCTCACTATACAATTCAAACTGGCCTTGAACTCACTATGTAACCCAGGCTGGCCTCAAATTCACAGCAAACCTCCTGCTTCAGCCTCCCAAGTGCTGAGATTATGTGAATACACTACAGTACTCAACTCCAAAACTCTTTATCTTGAAAAACTGAAACTATGCTCATTAAATGAAAACTAAACTTCTTATTTTGAGGCAATGATGCCTTTACAGGTAACTGCAACAAATAATATTGACAGATCCTGTGTACCCTTTATCTATTTCCTCCAAGTGGCAATACCTTGCAAAACTAGTACGTGCTGTCTCCCGATGCTCTTGTTAAGATCTTATCTGAGTTTTTAATTGGGTGTCACACTTTTTGCAGTCAATACGGTTGCTTGTTCTACTGTACCATGTATGATTCTTGTCCTTTCCTATATCCTTCATGACAGATTATAATGTGGCTTTATATTGTGCCTTACTTGTATATTTAAAATTAAGTATCAGGGCTGGGGAGATAGCTCAGTGGCACAGCACCTGCCAGGCAAGCACAAGGTCATGAGTTTGATTCCTGGCACAAAAAAAAGAAGAAAAAAGAAACGAAATGTCTTCATTCCCTTCCATTTCCTAAATCTTTAACTTTGATCCTTTTAGTAAGAGAATCAGAGATACTGTAAAAGCATCATGAAGAATTTCAGATAGATATGGTTTCATATTCCCTCTCTCTACAGTCATTTTATATTTGTATGAAAGACCAGTTTTGAATGTTCTTTCAATATGAGGGGGAAAGATTAGCAATAATTTTAATTTTACTACGTACATCGCTTTTCACTTTCATGAATTTGCTAGACATCTTTTTTCTTTTTCTCTTTCTTTTGTGTTTTCAAGACAAGGTTTCACTGTGCAGTTCAGGCTGGCCTCGAACTCACTTTGTAGCCCAGGCTGGGCTCAAATTCAGAGTAATCCTTCTGCCTCAGCCTCCCGAGTGTTGGAATAACAGCCTCCCGAGTGTGCCACCATGCTTCACTCTGTAATATATCTTCTTTCTGATGTGTTAGTTTATTTCCTTGCTAGCAATATTCTGCATTTAGAGAAAGATGTGTTTCATTTATTTGCTTGAAATTGACTGTTTCATTTCCCCGAACTTTCCCAAGAGAAGAGTACCCATTTTGTTTGTTGTACACAATAGATGACAAATCTCTTTAAAAGAGACAGAAGTACAGTACTTTTAAAATATAATGCTGTTAGTTTGGATTTCTGTTTTATATGTAATATTCGTACAATTACCTGATATTTGCCTTTGTTAATAAAGCTGTTAGTTTAGTCACACACACCCAAAAACATCACAACCAGTGTACTGACATTGATATAGTCAAGACATAGAGTGTTTCCATCATCACAAGGACGCCTCATGTTGCTGGAACATGCCCCCTCAATCCCCTCCCTACTTTAACCCTAGGCCACAACTAATCTGTTCTCTCTCTCTATACTTTGGTCATTTAAGAACACTGTCTAAGTAGAATCATCCTGGGTCACTATGTAACATTCTAAGATTGGCTGTCTTCATTCACTATAATTCTCTGAATTCCTCTGGCTAGGTGTACTAACAATTGGTTCCTTATTATTGTTGAGTAGTATTCTATGCTATAGATATACCACAGTTTGTTTAACCATTCACCTGTTAAAAGATATCCCCTTCCTTGGCAATTTTTGGCTATTATTAATACATCAGCCACAAACATTTATATACAGTTTTTTGTTTTGTTTTCTTTAAGACAGGGTCTCACTATGTAGTTCAGGCTAGTTTTGAACTCAGTATGTAGCCCAGGCTGGTCTCAATCTCAGTGATTCTCCTGCCTCAGCCTCCTGAGTGCTGGGATTACAGGCATGCACCACCACATCCACCCAGCCATCAAGTCTTTGTTTAACCCAGCTCATGTCATAAAGATTTTCTCCTATATTTTCTGCTGAAAATCTTATATTTTATGTCAGTAATCCACTTTGAGTTAGTTTTTTAAAACAAGATATTGAGATATGAGACTAAAGCCTATAATCCCAGCCTCAGGAGGCTGAGGCAGGAGGATTACAGCAAGTTTGAGGCCAGTTTAGGCTACATAGTTGGTTCAAAGCCAGTCTGAACTACATAGTGAGACCCTGTCTCACAAAACAAAACAAAAACCAGCCAACCAAACAAAAGTGTATGAGACTAGATTCTGTTTTGTTTGCCTATGGATTTCCAACTTCTTTAGTAATGTTTATTGAAAAAGCTGTCTTCCCTCCACTGAACTGCTCTTGCTCCTTTGTAAAATGTCAGTTGGTTGTATTACTGTTGGGTATCCTATTCTCTCTCCTACTTTCCATATTTATCCCTGTGGTAATACCATAATCTTTGTTAGTGTGGCCATAAAATAAGTCCTGAGAATGAGTAAGTTGATTCCTCACACTGAATTCTTTTTCAAAATTGTTTTTAGTATTCCTGCTTCTTTATTTTTCACATGACTTTTTTGGGGGTATGGTTACTACTGCATTTATTTTCCTACAGGTGATCTTATAGCTTCAACATTTTTGCCTCAAAGTTAAAAGAACAAAGCACAAAGTTTAGAACTGGATCACTTGGCCCTTTCTCTTGTTTTCTCCTCCCAGTTCAAAATGCTTGCATCTCTTCCTGGCCAGCTTCCTCTCCAAGCTGCAGTTAGGCTCCACACATGCAAGCCTCAGTGCAGTGTTCTCTGTGGCGTTAGCCTTCTTCAGGCAACTTGGTTTTGTCTGTGCACTGCAGCCACTCTGCTTCCTGTCGTAGTGCCTCTTTCCTTGGGCATTCAGGGAATCCTTGCCCTTCTCATACTGGGTCACTTTGTGAGGCTGATGCTTGCCACACTTCTTACAGAAAGTCTTTCTGGTTTTAGGTACATTGGCTATCTTGGCAGTAGAGCTGTCTACGATGAAAGCTAGAGGTCTCCACTCCTGGCCATGCTGCTCCCTCCTCGAGGGAAAGATCACATGAATTTTATTGTTTTTATTTTTATTTTTGTCTTTTTGAGACACGGTCTCGCTATGCAGTTCAGGCTGGCCTTGAGCTCAGTTTGTAGCCCAGGCTGGCCTTGAACTCGCAATGATCCTCCTGCCTCAGCCTCCTGAGTGCTGGGATTACAGACATGCACCACCACACCCAGCATTCACATGCCTTTTAGAATAAGGTCTGTAACTGGAAAGAGTCCTATTACGATTCCACCCCTCCGTTTTTTTTAAGGAATGGGGTCTCTTGCATGCTAGGTAAACATTTTATCATTAAGCTATATCCTCAGTTCACCTCCATCATTTTTTATTTTATTTTATTTTTTTTTTTTTTGAGACAGGGTTTCCCTATGCAATTCAGGCTGGCCTTGAACTCACTTTGTAGGCCACACTGGCCTTGAACTCGCAAAAGATCCTTCTACCTCAGCCTCCCAAGTGCTAGGATTATAGGCTCGTGCCACCACACCTGGCAATCATTTTTTATTGTGATAAAATACACTCATTTGAAGTTTACAGTTTTAACATTTTAAAATGTGTAACCAGTAGCATTTAGTACATTGAAAATGTTGTACAGCTGTCACCATTATCTAATTCCTAACATCTTCACCACTCCAAAGGTAACCTTCTACCTACGTCCCAGTCATTCCTCAACCTAGAAACCATCAATTTGCCTTTTGTCTCTATGGATTTAATTATTCTGGACATTTTATATAAATGGAATTATATAATATATAAGCTTTTATAGCTGCCTTCTTTCATTTAGTATTTTTCTTCTGAGGTTCATCCAAATTGTACTTCTTTTCTTCTTGTAGCAGAATAATATGTAACTGTGAACTGGGTGAGGTGGTGCACGCCTGTAATCCAAGCACTTGGGAGGCTGAGGCAGGAGGATCACTGAGGCAGCCTGGGATACATAAACAGTTCAAGGACAGCCTGAACTACATAGCAAGATCCTGTCTCAAAATAAACAAAAGAAGACAAAACAAAAAACAAAAAAACCCATAATACCTCACTGTATTTATAGACCACATTTTGTTTACCCATTCATCTATTAAAGGACATCTGGACTGTTTCTACCTTTGGGCTATTGTGAATAGTGCTGCCGTGAATGTACATGTACAAATATTTATTTATTTGAGTCTCCATTTTCAGATCTTTGGGGAATATGCCCAGGAGTGGAATTACTGAGTCATGCTCTATGTTTAACTTACCAAGGAACTGCCAAACTGTTTTCCGTAGCAGCTGCACCATTTTACAGTCCCACTAGCGCTGCACCAGGGCTCTGATTTCTCCGCATCCTCATCAACACTACTGTTTTCTATTTCTCATCCTGGTCGGTGTAAAGTGGATCTTAGGAATTTCATTTCCTTAGTGATTGATGACATTGAACACCTTTTCATGTGCTTATTGGTGATTTGAATATCTTTTTTTTCTTAAACAGGGAAAAAAGTACACAAAACTTATCACATGCCTAAAGCATAGGGGTTAGTTAGACTCATGCATAACTTGAATAGATGTGGAGAAATGTCTATCCATGTCCTTTGGTCATTTAAAACATTGGGTTGTTTGTATTTTTGAGCTGTATCCTTCATACCTGAAGGAGAGTTTTAGTGGATACAGGAATCTGAGTTGACAGACTTTTCTTGGAGTACTTGAAAAATTTTGTGTCTTCTGGTCTCCAGAGGTTCTGATAAGAAATCTGCTGTCATTCAAATAATTTTTCTTTTTGCTGTTTTCAACACTTTTTCTTTGGTTTTAGCTTTCAGTAGGGTCTAGGAGGGGCTGTGACACAATTTCATTGGGTTTTATCTTGCTTGTGACTCAGTTTCTTAAACCTATAGGTTTAGTCCTCTGCCAAACTTGGGGAGTTTTCAGGCATTATTATTGTTGCTGTTTTATCTTCTTTCTGCCTTATTCTCTTTCTGGAAAATTGATGGCACAAATGTTAAATCTTTTGTTACAATGCCACAAGTCTCTGATGCTGTCCTCAATTTTTTCCCCAGTCCATTTTCTTTGTGTTTCGGATCAAACAATTTCTATTGTTATGTCTTCCAGTTCACTAATTCTCCTCCATTCTGCTTTGAGGATCTTTCTACTATTCCATTGTACTACTGAGAATTTTTTTTTTTTTGTCTTTTTGAGACAGGGTCTTGCTATGCAGTTCAGACTGGCCTTGAGCTCACTTTGTAGCCCAGGCTGGTCTTGAACTCACAACAATCTTCCTGCCTCAGCCTCCTGAGTGCTGAGATTACAGGTGTGCACCACCATGCCCAGTGAGGATCTTTTTTATTTGCTTGATAACTTTTGACAATCAGCAATTCATTCTCATTCATACTATAGATGTTTCAAAGAGGTAATAGGTACACAAATAACTGAAATACGGTATAGCACTTATCTAGTGAATCTTCATCCTCATTAAGTTTTTGAGAAAACCATACATGGATACAATATATATATTGCTTATTTCTTTGGTGTCACTGTGCACATCTGCAGCTACCATCTCTTTCATGACAAATTTCTGGGTCTCTGAGGTTTTTATTGCTTTGGTTTTTCCCAATGTTAAGTTATGATAATTTTTAGTTCTAGAATTTCTATCTGGTTCTTCTTCATATCTTCTATTTCTTTACTTAACTCTGTGTATCTTTGCTGAGTCCTTCTGTTTTATCATTTGCTTATGCGTGTTCAGAATTGCTTGTGGAAGTATTTTTATAATGACTGCTTTAAAATTTTTTGTCAGGCTGGTGAAGTGGTATGTGTCTGTAGTTCTAGCTTCTTTAAAAGCTGAGGTAGCTGGATCAGGAACCTAGGATTTGGGGGCCAACCTGAGCAACAGAGCAAGGCCCTATCTCAATAAAGGAGAAAAAATTGTGGTCTATTTTCATTCAGCAGTCTTAATTGTTGATGTAATCAATGCTTTTTGATTGATACTTAGACATTTTGGGTTTTATGTTTAAGACTCTGGATCTTTCCTGGCGTGGTACTGCTCTCCTGTAATCCCAGCATCCAGGAGGCCAAGGCAGGAGGATTGCCTTGAGTTTGAGGCCAGACTGGGCTACATAGTGAGTTCAAGCCCAGCCTGAACTACACAGTGAGAACCTGTCTCAAAAAAAAAAAAAGTAACCAAAACTAAAACAAAACAAAATTCTGAATGGATCTTGTTTGAAGTTTATGTTTTGGTTGACCTTCTCAAAAAGTGCTTAGGCAGAAATACATATCAGAGTGGGTGGAGAAGTGTGGGAGCCCCTTAGGCCTGCTCCAATGCCAACCTGGCTGGATTCAGTGCAGGAGCACCCCGCACCTCCTTACTGCTCCTCACAGGCCGCCCCACATCCTCCACCAACACTAGGGACGGGAGAGTGAGGAGGCCCTTTCACCACTGCTTTGTTTGTTTGTTCTGTAACACTGGGGACTGAACCCAGGGCCTCAAATATACTAGGCAAGTGCTCTACCATTGAGATGCTCTCTCAGTTTCTTCTTTCTTCTACTGATGTTTCCAGGTTGCTGGCTTCTTCAGCTCCAAATCTAAAATATTTGGGAAGAAAAAGAAAGTCCAAGCAAACGCTATTGTGTCGTTCTTTGGCTTCTGAGGGCCCTAGCTGGTCTGGCTTCTCTCCAGAACTTTCCAAGTCTTCTTGTATTTGTTTTGTAGGTAATGTCCAGGGTTTTTAATCCTACCAGGAGGAGGAAGAGAGGCGGGGGAGAGGGAGGAGCGAAAAGGGAGAAGAGCGGGAGGAGCGGGAGGAGAGGAGGAAAAATTAGGTCTAATTAATCTTCCCCATCCATATGTATATTTTGGGAGGGGTGTGTTTGTGTGGTGGTGGGGGGTGTTTTTTTGAGACTGGGTCTCACTATGCCGTTCAGGCTGGCCTTGAACTCACTATGTGGCCGAGACTGGCCTCAAACTCGCAGTGATCCTGCTGCCTCGGCCTGCCAAGTACTGGGGTTACAAGTGTGCGCCACCACGCCCGGCTGGATGTATTTTGGATGATCTGTAAATGTTTGGGGAAAGAAAATAGCATGCAGACTGGGGTAAACGAATCGCACCCCTCCCACTGGCCTTTAAGCGTGGTGGCAAGAAGAGCAGCTGATTTAATCCTGTCCTGATGCTCTGCTGAGTGTCCGCTTGTGCGGTGAGGCTGGGAACCCTACTCTCCTTCCAGGTTCGCCTGTTTCCAAAAAGTACCAGCAGGTGGCAGATTACTCGATTAAAAATTACTGTTGACTGAAACAAAGAGGTCGATTTCCTTTGTGATAGAAATAAATTGTTACCTCGTACCAATCTCAGAAAGTCACTCTACAGTTTAGCTTTGTCTGTCTGTTTGTTTTGTTTTTGCACCTGTAGCTGTCCGGTAGAAGAGGGCTCGGTTAGGCTCACTGGTGACCTGACAGCAAGATTCTTGAGTTTTTATGAAAATAAATGTTTAACATTTAGTTACTCTTCTCTCTAATTTCTAGCACTTAAACTCTTAGGAAGGTGGAGACTAGATGAGTGCAAGATTAATACTTATAATTTTAACATTAATACTTTAAAAGCAAAACAAAACAATAGAACTCCAAACACCCTCATCACCTACCACCCCTTTTTCCCCCTTTCAGGCCCTGCTGATATGCAGTGTCACTGATGTTTTGATTTCAATCCATTATCGAAAGAATTTTCTTATTGAGAAGTGTACGTAAGGGGGTGCTTTTAAAATTTCTGTTTGAACTCATGCACACAGTTAATAATCACTCTGAGATCATCTGGCCAAATAAAGGCCTGAGGGGAGACTTTCGGTGGTTTCATTTTCGTTTTTCTCAACTTCTTGTTTTTAAAAATTTCAAACCCATAGGAAAATGGAAAGTACGATATTGCAAACACTCGATTCATGCCATTCGATTCCGGCCACATTTCCTTTCTCTCGTATACAGCTATTGCAGTACATTGACGGGGAAGTTTAAATTTTCCTTCAGTCTGGCATGCACCCAAATTTTCTTTCTTTGCCCTCTCTTTTTAATTTTTAAAAATGTCAGCGATCAGAGACCCTGTGTTTAAGTCTCTCACGAGAGCATTCAAGTCAGATCCTGCTGAGCACCAAACGTCTGAAGGCTGAGTGATTTTTACTTATCTGTAATACTCATTTTAGCCTACAGTTGAGTCTCAATTCACATAACATAAAAACAAACAAAAGTAACAAACGAGCTGCAGTAATCCCAGGATCTCCTAGCGTTACTCATACGATGGCCTTTCCTAGTGAAAACTTCGTGGATTTTTGTTGTCTTTGGAGACAGGGTCTCCCTATGCAGTTCAGGCTGGCCTTGAGCTCACTTTGTAGCCCAGGCTGGTCTCGAAATCGCAACAATCCTGCTGTCTCAGCCTTCCAAGTGCTGGGATTACAGGCGTGCGTCACCAAGCGCAGGTTTTTCCGGGATGTTTTTGCAAAGACCTTGCTGGATGCAGCTTTCGACTCTGCCTGGTCTTGGGAACTCTGATCATGTGTACGCGATCCTCTCCAGATTTTTAGAATTCTTTCATAGTGCCTTGTACTCTAGGAAAAAGAAAAAAAAAACAAAAAAACAAAAAAACACAACAGGGAAATAATCCTAACGAAAAGTCTCAGTATTAGAAGGATTCAAAACCAAAGTAGTAAACAAAACAAAACGTTTTAAGAGTCTTGTAATTCTGATGTTGAGGCCCCTTCAACTTCCCTGGTGGTCTAGTGGTTAGGATTCGGCGCTCTCACCGCCGCGGCCCGGGTTCGATTCCCGGTCAGGGAACACATGTTTTTTGGTAGAATCTTTTAAAACAACCGTGTTTTTGTGAATCAGTTGCACCACGCAGCGAAAGTTCAAATACTGAAAATGTTATTTAAAAAAATATATCAGCGTTTTACCACCTAGAGGTCACCATGAGTATAGTATGTATGAAACAAAATGGAATCATGTAAAACATATTACATTGACAGCTATATATTTTTAAAATTTAATGTATTTTGATCTTTACCCCACAATAAAGAGGAAAAACTGTATTTTTAACACTTCCCCGTAGCAATATTCTTTAGCAATATATTTTCTTTCGTTTTAGTTTTTAAAAAGGCTGTTGACAAGCTTTAGTATTCAAATTTACAGGAAGACATAACTAATAAACTTCACTTTCATGCTACCACCTATTTTTCCCTTAACAAGGCGACCAGTGTTAGCTTTCTTAAGTATGTCAGAGATATTTTATGCAAATGTTAAGTACATGAACATATAAGGGTATGTATTAAAACATGTTCTTTCCTCTGGCACAAACGATATTAATTTATGCATATTTTTCTGTATTTTATCTTTTCTGTTTAGCTATGCAGTTTACAAATAGCTACAGGGCATCCTCATTCTTTCTTATGGAGTATAGCATTCCATTGTATGAATAATCCATAATTAACAAGCTTCTATTGATGGTCAATTAAGTTATTTCTAACTGCTATTTCAAACAATACTGCCATAAATAATATTGTACATGTACCATTTTGCTTATGTGTGGGAAAAATGCCCCGGAGTCGATGCATTAGTTCAACAGGTAATACCAGTGAACACTGCCACCAGCAATACGCAATGTACAATGTAAAGATGACAATCATAACAAATGTTTATATTTATCAAAATGAATCTAACAAGTTCTATTTATGGGTTTTCACCTAAAATTTTCCCTATTCTCCGTGTTTTACAAATAATATTCTGATGAGGATCTGTGAAGATATATTTTTGTTTGTATCCCTACATACTTCCTTATTTCTAGAAATTGAATTACTACCTCATAGCACCTATCGCATGGATTCAAGAACTGAAACCACTAAAACGTTTCCAGAAAACTAAAGAATTACCTTAGTTTGGGCTAGAGAGGACTTTTTCAAGATTAAAAACAAGCAGAGATCATAGAGAATAAAACAGATAGATTAGGGAAGCCGTGGCGGCTGCCATCAAGTGCAGAGTGGAGTCAGTGGCCTCAGGATGGCGATGGCCTTTCTTCGGCATCTGCAGAGACGATGAGAAGCAGAGCTGCATGTTGTAGCTTAAAAACTGAAGGGTGTTGGCTGTGACTTTGAAAAAAGTTATATGATAACTCATCTTCAGATGCTGAGCTGAAGAATCTTTGATGAAATTCCTGCAAATGCATTCTCCGTCTCAGTTTCCAAGGCTGAAAAAGCATCCTCTAGGAGCTACATTGTGGCAGACATCCTGATTCCGGACTCTGGTTTGGACAAAAAGTGGACAACTTCATTCATGGGTCCGTGGTAGGAGACAATTGTGAATCGCTTTGCAGTGCCGGGACCGGATCAACATAGACTGCTTCTGCTACTGATGCCTATAAAATCATTTCCCCAAAACACAATCATGTAAGAGTTCTTTGGGTTTCGTTTGCAAAAGTAGCCAACGAATTCCAGTGACTCAAATCATCCTAGGAAACCTTTGGTAGTTAATGAAATTAGAATATAACTAATAACATCCGGAATCCAGTTTAGATGGTCTGGGTATAATCTCATGTAGAAGTAGGACTGCAATGATTGTACATTGAAATTAACATGTGTATTCTCTGTTGGGTGAGGCTAAAGGGAAACATATTTAGCTTAGAAAAGCATCTCTGAGTGGGTTTCCTGTGAACTTAGTGTCTTTGTTTTAAACTTTGAAGCACAAATAAAGGTTTTTTGTTTTTTTTTTTTAACTGATCAATTAGGTTACAAAAATAAAACAAGCCGGGGATATAGCTCAGTGGCCCAAGCTCTTGCCTGGCAAGCACAAGGTCCTGAGTTCGATTTCCGGTTTAAAAAAAAAAAAAGACAAACAAGTAGGGGGCGGTGGCACACGCCTGTAATCCTAGCACTTGGGTGGCTGAGGCAGGAGGATCACTGAGAGTTTGAGGCCAGCCTGAGCTAAAAGTGAGTCCAAGGCCAGCCAGCACTGCAGAGTAAGACCATGACTCAAAAACAAACAAAGCAGAACAAACGTTCTATCTAAAAATTATAAGGGACCCGGCCAAGATTCCACCTGCCTGCATGAGGAGTAAGGCAAAAGGATGAAATAAGAAACAGACACATTTACTAATGCATGACAGGGGGCTTAGGAGGTCAGTGCCTTAGAATGGGCAAAGACAATAACATCCCAAGCTAGCCACTTTTTATTGGGTGCACACAATAATCGAGGGAGTATTGGCTGACTCGGAGGGTGGCAGTGGTCTTCTGCTGAGGATTTTATGTCGATCAGGATCACTTCTGGTGAATGAAAAGGCAGTAGTGATCCTATGCTGATGTAATCTTGCCCTGGAGCATCATAACATTATGGGACTATCAAGGCCTCCATTATGGCCTCTGAGCCTTAGCCTCAGGGCCCTCGTTTATACTTTGTGGTCCCCAACAAAAAAATCCCACAAATTATATTAAAAGACAAAGGATAAACTAGTATAAATCAATAGGAAAACATAAATACCAATAGAAAAACAGGTAAAATGCATGACTTGATAAATCTCAAAACTAATACAAATAACTGACAAGTTTATAAAAAATGATCAGCCTCAATAGTAATAAAATAAATGCAAATTAAAGTGAGATTATAGTTTTACCCTGCACTTTGGAAAGATGAAAATAATATTATTTAAATCGACGCTTCTTTGGCAATACTCATTGAACAGTGAAAAGTGATTATCTCGCCACACAGCAATTTGGCAGTACTCAAAGCTTTAAAACGTGCGTATCTTCTCAGGGCAACTTTAACTTTATGCGTTTGTCCTAAGGATTAGCACTTTGATCTCAAACTAGCAACTATGTATTGCAGAGAGAAGCTGCGGAATTTGCTTGTCCCCTGGATTTCAGAAGCTCCGTTTATAAAGAGCGGCAGAGAGACCTAGCACTGACTTTCATTGAATCTGTCAAACAAGACCGATCACAAAATTTTCAAAACAAGGAAGCCTAAAGAGGTTTTTCTTTTTCTTCTTTGGCTTTATAGCCTAAATTTCTTGTCATATGAATTTCAAAATAGGAAGGTAATTACAGGAACAGAACTTGATGCAGAGTATTCATAGGGAAACAGGAGAAAGCAATTCGACGTGTGCGTTGGTGGTATAGTGGTGAGCATAGCTGCCTTCCAAGCAGTTGACCCGGGTTCGATTCCCGGCCAACCCAGACCTTTTTTTTTTTTTTTTTCACTTTTTCTCCCGGTTTTGAGTAGTCCGGGTAAGCTCCCCAGCGCAGGGAGCGAAACAAAGCGCTTTTGACCAATCGTAGGTTCTGAGTCGGCGCCCCATAGTCTCTCCCCTCAAAAAACCTTTAGGGTTTGTCTGTGGCTTCACACGGGAGGCGAGTGTGTCTGCAGCGTTCGACCGCTGGAGTCCCAGTGAATTAAAGAGATTCTCTTTTTGGGGGTCTTTAGGGAACTGTCTAGAGGCTAGCTTGTTTGTACTGAATCTTCAGAGGCGGCTTCGAGGAGTCAGGATAAGGCATCAGCACACACGCCCTCAGTTTAAGAGGGCCGGAGGGGAGAAAAAACCCTGTGCTCAAGGCGGAGTCTCTCACCTTCCCCGCCGCCCGCCGCCCGCCGCCCGCCGCGCCGCCCCGGCCGAGTCCACCGTTGTGGAAACAGAAACCGCCCTTCCAGAGCACAGGGTGGATATGCAAACAGGAAAACCCTGCGGCGCCGCCTCTTGAACCCCCGGGCAAGGCGATTTAATTCTTTGGAGGGGGAAACGGAGGGCGACGGGCACGCGGCCCCGGGCTGCGGCCGCTGCTTCGTGCCCTCAGTCAGGAGCTCGGCGCGCAGGATTCAGGACTCGGGACTCGGGACTCGGGACTCGAGACTCGGGACTCGGGATTCGGGATTCGGGACTCGGGACTCGGGACTCGGGACTCGGGACTCGGGACTCGGGACTCGGGACTCGGGATTCGGGATTCGGGATTCAGGGTCTCCTACCCGAAAGCGGGTCGGAGCGTCCGGGTTACGGAGCGGAGACGAATGGGGTTCCGGTCTACACGGATTACACGACCCAGGCAAGTAAAAGCGGCGCAGGGCCGGCCTGTTTCAAAGGACGTTAAATAGACCCTTATCCTACTGCCTTGCAGGTGGCTCGCCGTGATCGTATAGTGGTTAGTACTCTGCGTTGTGGCCGCAGCAACCTCGGTTCGAATCCGAGTCACGGCAGGTGGTGGGACCTTCGCTTGTTGGGTTTACTTTTGCTTAAACTTTAGCTTTTTCAAAGTTAGGGTTGCCGAGAAAGGTTCCTTCAGCCTTCACCTAAACAGAGGCGCGAATACTTGGCGGGCGACTGCCGGGCTCCGCGCCTCAGAGGGTGGAGAACCAGGCGCCCAGCGCGTGAAGTGAGCTGCGGCCTGCGAGGCCTGCGCCCGAGACTCGGAGCTCCCCCGATTTGCTCCTCGGTGGAACCTTTGCACGGGATGGCCTTGGCCTTTTGCTCAGGCACCAAACTTGCAGCATTTAAAAACAAACGTGTGCCCCAGCATAGTGAACAAGGCCAGTTTTACGTCATTCCCTCTCCTAGGCGTCGGGGTTTAGAAGAGAAATGGGTTTCGGTGCCAGAAGGAATCAGCGGCTGGAGCCCCAAGGTCGCCGAGCACGAATCCCCGCGCCGCTGCTTCCCGTAGGCCTCGTCCACGTCTCTGGCGCGCTGTCGCCTCTCCTCAGCCCCGGCCCGGGACACCCGCTGTCAGAGTGATCGGGTCCCTGTGGAATGTGAGGAAACGGCGAGGTTTTCCGACTTGGCGGGCCCGTTTAGTACTGCGGGGTCCCAGTCCCT